GCGTCTTCTGTTTCTTTTTCTTCTTCTTCTTCTTTTCCACCACAGTTTCTGTTTCTACAGCAATGTGCATCTCTTTCTCCTCTTGCTCCACTTTTCTTTCCTTTCTTTTCTCCTTCTTCTTACTGCTCGTATCTTCCACTGCAGCAGGAGGAGGAAGATTGAACCCTTCTTCGTCTCGCTGGTGTTCTTCTTCTTTTTATCTTGTTTCTCAGGTGTGTTGATGTCAACAGGTGTAGGATCGTCCTGCTGACTGTGTGATCTTTTTCTCTTCCGAGAGGGGGAGGGAGAGTTTGTAGGAGGTTTCATGACGGCAGGAGGAGATGATGAAGAAGATGCAGAACTGATGGTGATTTATTTTCTTATTTGACCTGTAGGAGAAAACAAACTCATGACTGAACAGTCACGTCCTCTTTCGCTACATTAAGCTATGATACGTTATACGATAATCTAGGTTGGACTTCTAGTGCCAAATTGCTCCAAAATTACAGTACAATAGTAAGAGTAACACATCAGATGATCAAATGTAAGTCAAATTAAAAAATAAAATGTGTTAAAGGTTGGAAAAATGGAAAAAAAAAGTAATGGCAAGGAGGACGGGTGGTATATGTTTTGTTGTGAGTTGGCTGTATATAAATAAACAACTGATTGAAAAGTTTAATGAGAACTGAAATGAAACAGCTACAAACTAAGTAACACAGAGAAAATAATAACAGGATGGACTTTAATGCCTCCACAACCTGTATATCCTACGTGCCCCATGTCTCTGGAGACAAAAGAATAGACTGTGTTGGACTACGTTCCTCTGGCAGAGGGTTCAGTACCAAACCTCTCTCCTAAAGAAAGTTTACTTCCGATATTCTAACACGGCCCAGGGTCCCTCGAATCCTGGACAGACTCGTAATCTAGCAAACCAGGATGTCCCATTAGTCCTACACATCCAGGGGTCGTCTTTTAAGTATTTGGAGTAAAGCAGCAGCCCACTCAGTAAGAAAATTGCTTAGTTTGTTCCTGTAAAGACACTAGTTGTTTCCTGTTGTATGGTGCAAGTGTGAGAGGCAGTTGTGGTATCTTTGGGGGGTTTGAATGTCCTAGAATTATCTAGAAATGTCAGGGGCTCATGTGTGAAAAGGGCCTTTTGTTCACCCTGAAAACAAACAAACAAACATGAAAGACGCTGTCAACACAGAAACATTTCACGCTTAAACACTTCAGAATCCCTATGTTGCAAAATGTGCCTTTGCCCTACAATGAGCGTTTTAATGATGAATTAAAATGATGATGATACCTGGATAAGAACAAATCAATGTTACACAATCATAAAGCCAGACTGTAACTACTGCCGGTGCTCACTCAGTCAAAACATTTAGTATAGCACAAACTCTTTGACACCATTTTTGTAGCCCAGCATAGTTTGTAAATGCTTTGGGTTCCTTCTGACTTAAATGCTGCATTGCCTCCTATAAAGCATCTGTAGTATTTATTCTGGGGAGGAATTTCTGCATTTTAATTTGACAAACAAAGACTGTACTCTTACTTGAAACAAGAAAATAACATTGATTGTCTTCATTTTCTTATTTTTGTATAATAACAATACACCCTCCAACAGTTCATAATGACAACTGTTGTAAAAAAAAAAAAGGAAAAAAAAGATAATTTAACTTTTTGTATTTGATGGTCAGTTGTTGACTGTCTGCAGATGTACACAACTACTAGGCAGCATCAAAATATGTAAAAGAAAAAAAGTCATAATACCAGTTAGATAACATGGTCTTTCAGACACTTGCTGGACCTCTTTAAATTGTGAGTTTATACCCATACCCCTGATATGATTCACTGCAGTGAATACATACAAAGTACCAGAGAAGATGCTCACTTTGCTTTAATCAGTTGCAGGATCGTGACTCCTGGGTAACATCAGAACCGATATAACCTTCTTTTTATTCAAAACGTTTACAAATTGGTTGATACCCTTTAATTAAATATCTCACAGGGTAACCAAAGTAAACAAATGTGTCTTATTGGCTCTGTTTCAGCTGAGCAAACACACAAAAAGAATCAACACAAAGTGTATCTTTAAAAGGACTAGGGAATCAGAGACTTACAAGTGTTTTAAATAAATACAAGTACTTTTTTTGCTTCTCACATAAATCGACACTTACACCTGGACAACGATACAGACCAGAATCTGACCTCAGATCAGACCAAAAGAGTTCAACAGCACAACAGAACCAGAGTGAATAGAGGAGCCGGCAGGCTACAAGGTCCGAGTCCGCACTCACTTATAATCAAAACAGTGAAGTATAGAGTTTTAAACAAGTCTAAAAGCACATCCAGTTTACCATGTGAATCCACTCACCTTCTCCACAGCTGCACGCGTGCTACGGAAATAACACACAGCGTGTTTACTTCCGGGATTGTAAATGCGCATGCGCGGACGCCTCAGAGTGAAACAGGGGGTGCATCCAAATTGCCAAGTACCTACTCAATCTGTCAGTAGGCAGTACCTACTATCCATACTGTTTAGTACCTACTATTCAGTATGCGCGCACAGTAGGCAGATATTTGTTCCTACTTCTTCGGATTCATTCAGTAAGGAAGTGACGTCATTTGCGTTTCCCGAACCGGCCGCATCCACCCGTTTTTTTGTTTTTTTTTCAAGAGTAATGCTCATACAGTACATATTTTTACAGTCTATGTACAGTACATATTTTTACAGTCTATGATACAGTCAGATAAAAAAAAAATACAATGTAAATCAAGTAAAAGGCAGATTAAATAACTAAATAACATACAGTACATAAAGGAAAATACAAATGAAAGACAATAAGATACAGAATATAAAGTAAAATAAACAAATAAAGACGCAGACATAAATATGGAAATCATTATTTAAATAGAGGGGGAAAGGTTTTTATAATAATTCAGTTTCTGTTGTTAATTAAAAGTAGTGATTTCAGTCGGGACTTTAACTCTAGATTAAAAATTGATTCAATTAATCCACGCTCGTTTGTTTTGATTTGGAGGCGGACGTGAAGTGACGTTTTGCGTTTAATTTCACACAGCATTGTGGGTGGTAAAATACAATTAATTTCCTGAAAGGATGCATCCATCCATACTGCATAAAACCCGGAAGTTAGTACCCATGCTGAAATGTTCAGTATACTGAGGCGGACCCAAAATATGCATACTGAATGACCTAGAAAGTTCAGTCTACTGAAACCCGCTACGGAAAAGTCTGCACTGCATACTGAACTGTGGCTATTCGGAAAGGGCCAGGCTGAATTTCTATCTCCTCCCTAAACCCTGAACCCTGACCCTGGGTTTTATATATAACCTGACCACAAAACATGTCATCTCTGTGTGCCAAAACAAAAATGGTGAAAACACACATTTAACCAACCAATACAGCAGCAAATATCAAAACCCCCTATCCCTATCCTAAAATCCCATTTTTTGTGGGCAGAGCCTAATTGGTGGTAGAAAGTAAGCTAGAGGTCAATTTACATCAGAAAATGATTGATATTCTGGAAGCCTCCTCCAATTAGTTTAACTGTATTGTACTGGAAGACAAGTTGTCTTACAGTGTCAAGCCAACACTTGCAATGGGGTGAGGTTTCCTGACAGTAGGGTCAGTGGGGAAAGGGTCCAGCTAAATGGCCTAATTTACAGTGGCTGGGAGATCTTCATATGGGAAAAACCCAGCATCTAAACTAAAGAAAAACTGAAGGCATACAAATCTCATTTTCTACATTGCAGTGTAGAACACTGAATCCTGACATTTGTCAGATGGTTTTGTGTATTAAGGGACACTGTACTGCCTAGCCAGCGGCAAGGACATAAATAGGTAGAAGACGTTGTATAAATGTCCATGTTTGCTTAAAAAGTTCTTCAATAACAGATTTCTATAGAAATGGGGGGGTCATGTTGTTTTCGTGTTCGTATTCTGACATTCAACTGCACAAGACATGTTTCCCTTATACCAGGGGTCTGGCTTGCTTCTCTGTGTTTGTCTTTCCACTTGCTTCCACTGTTTTTCTGTCACCTTCATGCGCAAGCAACTGTAGCAAAGTAATTGTGACATCTATTCCAAATTGGTCTATACCCCAGCTCCACCAGTCGATCCCTACTGCAGACTGGTTGCAAATTTGCAATATGTCAGCGCCTGCCATGGGTATATTCGAGGTGGCAGAGACACACTGTCCATTTGTACACGGGTTATTTTTTAGAAGAGGGACCATCCACCATCTACTTTAGTTGCTTGATGTACTTTCAGCTGATTATTCTTTACTATACCTTTACTGAAGGTTAAGCAGTATTTCAACAAATTTCTCTGAACTTCTAAATTCTACTTCTAGTCATACCAATTACAAAATATCATTCATAGATCTGCTTCGATTAAACATACAGTGTTAGTGTGTTGAAGATGTTCATCTTTCTTTATAGGTAATACATCTTTTCAATTCTATGAACTGTTTTTGTTCTTCAGTAAATAAAAATAAATTCTTAGTGTGATGAGAAATCAATTTAAGACATCAGTAAGGTATTCAAGGATGTAACTTTATCACATGTAAAGATATCTAATGATGTTAAAAACACAAAGTCTGATTCATAAACACCACAGGTTCTAGACCAATCTTTACCTGGTTAATTCAATAAGAAGTTAAAAAACAGTCAGGATAATAATTCACCCCTTCAATTGAGTAACCAGCAGAGTAAAGCTAAACAGATGAAATCAAGTGGTAAAATACAAGTAATATGGGTGTTTTCAAAATAAAGAGAGGTTATGAATTTACCTTAAGTTAGACGGCCTCATATATATTAGGAAACTAGCGTCATGTTAGATAGAATGATTTTTTTTTTTTATAGTCTGTATAGTAATACAGTGCAATTTGCTATAACAGAGATGAATCATAGACACACTGTCCTGATGTCTTGTTTTATGGGGAGATAACTCAGAAAATCTTTCTAATTAAACAATGTTCAATTTTACAAGATTGGCAACCATTTTATAATGAACAGTTTTAGTTTTCCATAAAGTCTATATCAGTAAATGTTCGTAACAAAAGTTATTCAAACTTGACAAGTCTTTCAGATAAAGTCTTTATGTCAACAGTTTCTGTGGGCTGCCATTACTCTGTCTGGAGTCATGAATTATGTTCACTCTATGACCAAAGTGGTTCTTTCACACTGTGTGAGTCTTTAGGATGAGACAAACAAGATGAATTATCTTTTCTGATTCATTAAAACATAAGGATGATATTTAAAATACTCTAAATCCATTGGACACATCCATAATAGACAACTACCAGTCCACAGAACTACAAACTAGGGGCAAACTTTAACTACTAGAGGCCAGGAAAAAAACCAAGCAACAAATCATATACTTGTAAAATGGGAATCCATTCAGCCAGCCTTAATCATGTCTTCAGGGTGGGTTAGCATTCATTTTGCTGTTTGTTGTCAGAAGTGTGATCAAGGTTTCCACATCGACAGTGGCTGGTCTCGGGTGGATGGGAACACAATAACAGCTTAAAACATTCAAAATGTCCATCCAAAAACAAGAGCCAAACATTTTTCCAATGTCTGAAACTTGGCAATGACGCAGGACCTGGTATTCAGTCAAACATTGTAAAAAAAAAAACACTTTCAGACTGTTCTTCATCACTGAGGACGATGGTTAAAATGATTATGGGGAGAGGAGCCAGTGGGGTTGACGTGTGTGTCGTCCTCCGTGTGTGTCACCAGCAGTGAGGCCCTTTGCTCGTCCATTCTCCTGGACTGAACTCTCTGTATTAAACTGAAGAAATCATCCTGACCTTCAGGAAGTGTACCAACCACATCATCCAGATCAGGAAGGGAGCACCTCTGGTCCTCCATCCTGTCAGACTAGATGATGAAACATGCAGAGGGAATACGTCAGATAGGCCACTGAAATCTCCTTGATGGATGTGTCCAGACAATCTAGCACCATATCTCTGCCATAGACTGTATAACATATGGATGTAGTCATAATGATGTTACCCTTTGGTTTTCTGAAGAGGCGCTATGAAGCCCATTGATTGGAAATTCCATCTCCACATAACTGTCTATAAATCTAGGAATAGGCAAGAGATGGAGCTGAGACAGGCTTAACGCCTCCTGAAAACAGCTAAAGCCAGTCCACCTGTCATTTAACACAACATGCCCTGAATATCTTCAAACTGTGTGTCAGAAAAAATCGCACCTCACATTTTTTTTTTACCAACAAATAAATGAACTATTGATAGTGAAGCAGTTTTATACAAGGCTGTAAGCCACCTCTAAATCTTTAGAAACTGTTGAAGCCTGTGCCCTGACTAACATCTCTACTTCAAACCACACCTATATGGATAACTGAAGTCTCTGAACCACTGAGTGAGTGTACTGACAGTCTGTACTGCAGTCCCTTCATATTGTAAAAGAGATTAACTATTGTTTGAAATGGGCCGCATGGATGGATGCATACACATGACATGCTGGTACCTGGTAATGTATGAGCATGTAGTAGAAGTCCAGACTGGGGAGGGTAGGCTGGTCAGGGCTGCAGGCTCCACATAGACCAGCTGCTCCTTGATCAGGAAGTAAGCTAAGGCTAGCTCTCTGGTCATCTAGTCTCTGACCCTGGCACTCTAGGATCAGGTCCAACAAGGCCTCAGGCTCCTCCTGTTGGCTACTCCTACGCTACAGTGACAACACAGGTAAACCATAGGTTATAAAACATGACAGCATGTATAAGAAAATATCTATCCAAGAAGTCTATAGAAACTGAGGATGAGAAGTCAACTATGACTACCAGGTGCAAACAGTTTTCCATTCTGTTGGCACTAAAATCAACCACCTTATAATATGCATATAGAATATATAGAATATATAACATAACTACATAAAGGAGATATAATTCAAACTCCCTCTGGTTTTGTTGTTCTAAGATCTGAGTCTACGGCCCTTGTGTTTTGGACTCTTTCCTAATATCTAACTTGTTTATGTGTCACTCAAAGGCTAAAACATGTGCTCCTTTTTTTTTGTGTGTGTAAACCCCTTCCTCTCCCACCATTAGCCCTACCACTATGAAGGAGAAGAGAGAGGGCCCCACCTATTCAGAGCCACTGTATGTATAGAGGCACGATGGTGGAGTGTCGTCGCAAGAGTACAACCAAAGGAGATACAATAGACAGAACAATAAAAATACATTTTTAGTCTGAAAAATGAGCAGCAACCGAATTAAGACTGGGCTGCATCTCTGAATAGAGCCCTGCAGAGGACTGCACTTAGCACAAACTTGTTGGTTTGAGAGACTGGTGCTAAAGAGGGACATCTGAACATCTACTTTAAAAGTTAGAAATTATACCTTAAGACTCTTAACACTTTGAAAAACAAGAATAACCCCCCCCCCCCAACAAAAAAAAATCAAATATTCAGCACTTTGACTTTTTACTTGTG